CCAGCAATTATATGACTAACTAATCAATATAATTTCATGGTATTCTGTAGATATCCCAAAGTGTTAATTATAACAGGAGCAGTTAAATTCTTTGGAGCAATTAAATTCTCTGGCTATGAAAGCATAGCAGTTTTTAATAGATGTATCACCTGGTAACCCTGGGCATTATTAAATATATGGAGACTGAAAGACATAGGTAGAAGCAATGGAAAAGTCTGGCCAGACTGGGTAATTTGTTTTAGACCTATGGAGAAATCTATTAACCATTTATTCTATAGACCCATTTGATTAGGAAGTAGGACAAGCTGTTCTTTCATTACGTACCAAAACCATACTGCACTCTGTATCAATTATTTGGCTGTCTGCAGCACATAGATTAGAATAAAGGGCTTGCTTAGTGTTTGTGAATGTCGCGGATTGCTGATTAGTAATTAAAGTGCTGAATGAAGAAAATTAGGCCAAAATCGAATGGGAATGAGAACGTCTTAATTCTGTGATACAGATGTTAGAAACAGATTGTCTTCAGCAGCCCATTCAATGTGGTGACATTCTACATAGCCATCGAGTATTTGCATCCCATGTAAAACTCAAGTCAAATGCCTTTGAGATGGTTTCCTCTCCTATGCCTTGTGATGTAGCTGTATGGGTATTAATTTAGTGAAATATCCTGTCTGCCAGGTGTGGGAACTAGCTGATTTTATTGTAATACCAGATCATTACTTAATTCATATGCAACAGAGTACAGCACATGGAAAGCATTATAAATCTATTTACAATGTGGCTAGTCTGATGATAACATTGTATTAAATTCCCAGGTGAGGCAATTTAAGCAATTGCTTTGCCATGTGCACGCCGTGGAAATTAAATTCTCATATACGCTTTAGTAATAAACCAACTTCATTGTTATGCTTTTGCTAGTTCTGGGCTGTAGAATCCTCATTCTGGTTACATATACTCTATTTTACATGTAGAATACAGGAGGCGGTACCACTGATCACAGTTTTTAATTAGTTTAAGCTAAGTTAATTCGTTTTGTTTCTAATTTAGTGGTGCCTGTCCAGGAACACATTCAGTTCAGTTGGGAAATGTCAAGGCTTGGGTCAAGTAGAAAGATTGTTTCAAGCCAAATTTCCAGACAGAACTGAGCAAGTGTATCTGTTTGAACTTGGCTTTAAGAAAATCAGCCAATCAGTATGCAAAAGACCTGTTCATGTACCAAGTGAAAGTCAAAAATTGCTTTGAATCTGAAATTCTCGCATTCATAACTCACTTGTGTCATCAGTTTCAAATAGCCATTGAAACTTGTGCATCTAACTTGTTAGAGGTAACAATCAGTTGTTTATTTGTCATATTTTTTCTATAGTTCATATATGGTCTGTAGATTTTCTTTCTAACCATCTAGTCCACCAAAGGGTGTAAGTTAGGAGTAAGCTATACACAAGCACAATTAAGTGTGGAGTACGCTTGTATTTAACTCTGCGTACGTGTGGGGTGTGTGTGTGTGTGTGTGTGTGGCAAATATTGTCAGCTGAAGCTTTTCCACTCTTATGGTACAGACCAGAAATTGCAGTAGATTACAAACTGCATAGAGCTTCTGTCTTCTCCAGAAGCCACATATAAAGCACCAGTAGACAGTGGTAACTGACAACTAAGACTAAAAATGTTGACAATTTCTTGATTTGCCTGGTTAGCTTATGTATAGAAGTCATTAACTATTTATAAAATGCATTATGAATTGGGTTCCTTCAAACTGTAGCTGAATGTGTGACATTTCCAGCTCAAATCCTCATGTTTGCATTTGGCTAAAGTACAAATTTTATACTGTTGATAATAAAGTAAAAATATTTTAGTGAAGTTTATTGAGATACAGTAAATGCTTCAGTTTCATTAACTTTGAATCTTCCAAATTAAATTATTGTGTAGGTACTTAGTAATGTAGCATGAGATTTTTAAAATAATTCCGTAAAAGATAACATTAATTTATTGATGTTTTACAGGAAAATGATCCATAAAATAATCAGTTTGTCGTTCAAAGGACTTTGCCCCTTTTTTGATATTCAGTTAGTTTAGTGATGATCTTGTGGTGTACATTATGGTTGGTCACTTAAAATTTCAAGTTGTGAAAAAGTATAAGAAAATACCCATGTTGGGCATTTAAATATAATTCTTAGTTTTTTTTTTTAATTCTTGATTTGTTTTATTTTTGGAAAATGAAACATGTAAAGAGTTCAGTTTTCAGTATTGTGTCATGTTCATGAGGAACTATTTCTGATATTTGAAATGAGTTGTCTTTTCATTCCTCAAGAAAAGTCAGTCCTGTCAGAGAACACTTTGTTAAACTCAGCATATCATTTGCTTAATTATATCCTGAAAGCCATCCAAACAACCAGTTTTTACCATCCCAGTGGTAAAGAATGACATTTATAGGGACCACCCTTCAGCCTGGGTTCTCCTCTGTTGCTGAGCATGTACACTCTTAATTGCTGGTTTTTAAAAGCAGTGGATTCTAACCAAAACAAGATTAAATATTTAGGGATACACATTTATAATTTTCTCCTTTTGAAGTATAGTAAATCAAAATAAGAATATAATGTAATTGAACAATCTATGCCAATTTGTTGGTATTTTGGTGAAAAAGGGAAAAACAAAAATAATCTCCATATGATACTCTTGCATACTGTGGAATGTTTTAGTCCCCCATAGTGATGAAATGAATAATTAAAAAGGCAGCTCTGATACCACAGCCTGTTTAAAGGTTCTCATTTCCTTTAATGCTGCAAAATACTTTTGCTTAGCTAGTTTGAAACTACTGTAGTGGGACTTCCAAATGAGCAGAAGAAAGCTTTGGCTTGATCTAAATATTGTGTTAAGGCCATGAAGTGGACTGCCCTAATAATTTAGCATTTTTAAATGCAATTTTGTATGAAGTCAATAGAAATAGCTAATTAATCAGTAAATACAATAAGAGAAGCAAGCTTAATATATGCTGTTTGTGATGGTAAAAAAGTCTGGCCTGTTCACAAATGACTGAGTTGGGTCACTACTGAATTGTCAAGAGATCTGTTATCGGTATCTTTACCGACTTCATGCTAAGGACTTGACTTCTTTACTCTGTCCTCCTCCCTGCAAGGTTGTTGGTTTTATTTATCTACTTACAGAGTTATTGCATTAGCCAAGGTATAAGACATGCATTTGTGGCAGGGAAATGGGGTTTGGAGTGGAGACTCAGTGCAGGGAGTGGATGCTGCTGTCTCCTTAATATCAAAACATTTTGCAATGCTTGTGCTTTTATCCTGGGTCATTCTAAAGGTAATAGAATGAAGAGAAAATTTTGTATAGTAGAATGAGCACTTAGCTGTGAGTCAGGACCCCAGTGTTCCAGTGTCAGTTTAACCAGTGCGACCTTTAGGATGCCATAAAACTGATTTTTTTTTTTCCACTAAAAAGCCAAGGAGTCTCCAGATTTATTTATTTTTATTTCTACTCCATTCAGGCTTTTTCAACTGGGTTCTGCCAGAGACTTACACCTTGCCTTCAACTATATGTAATGAACTAAATTTTTTCTTACGTACCATCCTTGGGAGAATTGATAAAATGGTCACTGAAATAATTTCTGCGTTTTGTGGTTAAGATAAGGAACCCCAATTGGGAAAAGTTGTAACTTCACAATGATTTAAAGTCTATTGGTTGTTCTTGTCTAAGGTTCTTTTATATTTGAATATAATATGTTTGATGTTTAAGCTATTATGATCTCTATGTGGTCAAGCAGTGTTGCTAATTCACTAGTTTAAAATCTAATTTAAAAATCATATTGTTGACATCTGTTCCTGAATTATGGATAGTCCTTTTAAACTACAATACTTTTCCAGATTACAGTTGAATAGGTAAGAAATTGTAAGTCCCAAATTGTAGACCCCAAGTGAGGACAAGATTACCGTTTTCCAGCTGCCATTTTTTAATGGAGTTGTTTCCTTAGTGAAGTCTGAAGCAGAAAAGACAACAAAGTAACTTGCAAACCTGAATTTAGATCTGAAATAGTGATACTGAAGTGGGAGCCGAGGACCACACTTTAGCTTCACAACCAATTTTCAATCTTTTAGCTTTTCCAAGTGTGTATACATTTAGATAATTTATGAATTGCTTGCAGACATGTCCCTCTGACTTTATGGAGAAGGGTACATTTCTTGTAAAACACATTTTTTCAGTGTGTGAAACACTGACTCATAGCCCACTTGTCTTTATTTACTGGGACTGTGAAAAGTTGACTCATAACCTACTTGACTTTATTTACTGTGACTGGGAAATATAGTTTCTTTTACCAGACACACACATGCACGCATGCATGCATACATGCACACACACTTTCATTGCTTTTCCTTAGGCCATTATTTATAAAAAAAACTAGGAGACATTTAAATTATTGTTTGTACAGGGGATGGGCTTTTAGATTCCCTTTCTTTCTTGTTTTGTAATATTACAATAATGAAAGAAATATAGATGTGCTATTCTGGGCATTGCAGAGTATTGTTGGAGATATAATTATTAACCTAGTATTTGAGACTTTTAAAGACCTAAGTTGAAAGCTTTGTAATGTCCATTTCCTGCCACAATATAAAAAAATATATATACTCCTGTCTTAAGTACAATACAGCCTAGTGAGTTTTACAGACATACAGTTATATAGCTGTATTTCTTTAAGCTTAGTGGTCTTATTTGAATGGTGAAGTGTGAAAGTAACATACAAGTTTGGATCCCTTTATGAATATTAACGAAATACTTACACAATGCAGTTTGCTTTCATTATTGGCATTTTAAAAACTAATTTACATGAAACTTCTCAAGTTCAGGAACTTCACACAACTTTGGTGTGCAGATTGTAGCCAATAGGTTTCCATTAGGGGGCTCTCGAGGTTTGAGATGGGCCTTGATACCAATAAAGCTTCGAAGCCTTTACTTCCTAACGTTCCTCTCACTCTCTCCCTTTTTGTTTTGTTTTATAGAAAAGGTCACGGATCGCCTACAGTGACGAAGTACGGAATGAGCTCCTGGGGGATGATGGGAATTCCTCAGAGAACCAGGTAGAATGCTAATCAGGAAGGCCCGGTGGGTGGCTGGAGGGTGAAGGAGGTCACTGGCGCACTGGGCTCTCAAGCTGCTCCTTAGCAGCATTAGCAGCAACTCATGTGGAAGCGATACTGTTTAATGCAAAGCTGGAGTCTTAATCAACTTCAAAATGTTTCTTAGAGATCTTACATTTAACCCTTTACCTTGTGATCACTGTCTGCTATCTTTTAAAAAAATCTTTCATTCTCTTTTCTTTATTATTTAGTACTTAAGGAATAACTTGAAACACACCGTTTGCAGACAAAGCCAAGGTCTTCACCTCAAACACATGTAAAAGGAATAAAAAAGTACATAATACAGCTTTGATAATAATGCAGTATAATTAAATCAACACTTGCAGCAAAACAAATGAAAGTGAGCTTTCAAAATTCAGCAGGGCAGCCCAATCTCCTATTGTGTGGCTTCTTAAAAATACATTCACCAAAATGCAAATTGCAAGCACCAGTGTGGAACTTGGATACCGATATAGAGGACCTGCTTCTGTCCAATGATAGTCATAATAATAATAATAATATTATAATAATAGGATAAGTCTTTTTGCAGTTTAAGATCTGCATAGGCCAAAAATAAAATATAATTTCTTCTTAAAAGGGCTTTACAACTTGGCTGTTAGTTCTCATTGGATCATACAGTAGTGTCATGAGTCTAATTAATGTCCTAACTCTTTCTTTGAATTAATACTGCAGACTTCATTAATTTATGTAGATACTATATACAACTCTAAAAAAAAGTTTTAAGAACCTTGATGTAGAGATGACTTTTAAAATGACTCAGAAAACTCTAATGACAGATTTTCTTTTAAAGAATATATGTTACAGGGACGTTCAGAAGCAACACCTCAACATGGTTACCAATGCCACTTTGGCAAGAATTATAAAAGTCTACTCTGCCTAAATGAAAATGAGCATAAATCAGTCACTGAGTAAACCAAAATTGTATATTGATATATATTATGAAAATTGCATAATTGTATTTACCATTTCAAATAGATGATATTGTAGGTCTATTCATGCTAACAGTATTGCTATCTATTATACTATAAACTATAACTGGAATGTGGTCTGTGTGATTAAGGGCGCTACCCACCCCCCAAAAAGAGAGAAGAATGACTGAGCTGATTATGTTTGTTTTTGGAAAGATCTCACCTCCTCCACTATTTGGATGTTATCAGCTTGAGTTCAGACATATGAACACGTTCAGATTTGACTTGGGATTTCAGCTTCCCTGATTGAAATGTGAGAATAGCTAAAGGAAAAAAAAATAGCACATCAAACATAAAAGGGTGATGTGATAAAGCAGTTTTACTCATAATAGATTAAATAATGTGAGGATGAGGAAAAAATATTTTCTTCCTTTTTTAAAGTGAAATTTATATTTCTCATACCTCTTGAATGAATGAATCATAATTTTATTTCCTATCTACTGCAAAAAAAAGAGCATTATCTTTTTTGCAGAAAAGTGAATGCGTAGTTCCCATGTCAGTTCTTTAAAAAGCTATAGATCTTTCCTTCATTTGAAACTACTGCCTAATGTAGAGGAAATAGAAAGGAAGGGGGTGTGCCTGTCTAACTCAGACTCCTTTATTGTAATGGATGTTGTAGTTCTATGACAGGGATCCCTTTTTTTTTCAAACCTGTTCACTTCTCTTAATGGACATTTCATATGCCTAAAACATCTGCCTTGCGTACATATAAGTATGATTTTTTTATGCCTAAAGAAAACTGTTCCACAAAAATAGATTGAGTTCATATTTTCTGAATTTTTCAAATTATATTTCTGTCACTTTCAAGTGATTATGCAGAGATCTCCCCTGGACTTGTATAAATCAAACTTAAAATTCTGAAAGTGCTTGGAGAACCTGAAGTTTAGTTTTAAGGAACTGTCACTTCAATAAATAGAGTATGATAAATTATAGACATGAGAATATGTACTGTTAGATTATTACTTGCGTGAACTTTTCCATCTAAAATTTGAATGAGGTGTAAAAGTTCAAAGAGACCACACTTAACTTTTTGGATATTTGGTTACCAAATGTAGCAAAGTTTTCATGTCATATGAAATCATTGCATTTTGTTTTAAGGCTCTTTGTCATAATATAGGAATTAAAATCCCTCAAACTAAAATACATCCTTAACTAGGTATGGTCACTTGGGAATAACCTTTTTATTCCGCATCAGCATTCATTCAGAATATAGAATCAAAACAGAATCTCTTTCTGTAAAGAAAGAAAAGATTTTGACTCTTTATATTAATTTTCATAGCTCAGTGGTTAGGAAGAGTTTTTTCTACAAATAAGTGTACCTTTAAGTTATTTGCTAATAAATTAATTTTCAGAACTTTTTGTTCATGCAGTACTTATGATAAACTTTTAATATATGGATAAAACTTGGAGATAAAATGAGATTAAAAATAGCAATATTAATTTCATTGCCATTGGGACATATCTGTCAGTTCAAAAATATGTATCAAAATAGGAAAATAAGGAATTAAGAGCAATGATTATATAGATGAAATAAAATACTGGCTAGGAATTTTTAATGTAACATATACATCCTCCTTATAGTTGCTCTTTGTGAAGATTCAACAATATGAATACAATAGCTATTATTTCTCATTCTGGTAATTTATAATGAGGTTTTTTTAGGCATCTGAAACCTGACTGTTAATACAAATAATTATAGTCTGCCAATTAACTATAAAGTATGTTAATTTACTCTTAGGTACATAAACATTTCTGCCATGATCAGAAATGTTAAAAATTCAGAAATGAAAATTTTTTCAAAAGCATTTTTAATGTTCCTCATACAATACATCTTGCATTTAATTCCAAATTAAATGCTTTGTATAAATTCATTTCTGATTCATATTCATTTCATTCAATCAAATATAGCTTATGCTTGATTTACAAAGAAGGGACAAGAAAATTACCTTCTTTACACATTCGAGTACTGTTGGGCTATCAGCTTTCCAAGGACTATTGTCTTAAGCAATATCATTCGTTCTTTGAAAATACCGTATTTACCATTCTATGTGGCACCATTTTATTTCTTTGAAAGGTTGAGTTCTTGAATGTAGTGATGTTGTATTTAGAGTGGAAACATTAATAGTTCCTAACTTGATTGCATTTCATGAGAACCATTCTCATAGAAGGGAAAACACAACTTATAGAATAAAATCATAAAGTCTTTCATAGTGAAGTGTGATAATGAGCCAAGTAAACTGTTCCAAGCTCTGGTTTTGAACCTTAATACTCTCAGTTTCTATATGCAGAATTATATTGATCAGTGACTTTGAATAAATCCTGGAGTGTTCAAAATATAAAGAGTAGACTATTTTCAAATGTGTGAAAAGTTTTGTGGTAAAGCAATATTTAGCAGATAATGATTGCTTAATTTTTTTAATACGAGGTTCTCTTAAGTTCCGATTTGGGCTTGCTGTGCATAAAGTGTGTCAAACTTCAGCTACAGACCAGGGGGTGAAGTCGGTCAATTTAATTCCCCAAGATCTAAAGAAGGTCGGTATCATTTCATATAGCCCTGGCAGAGCAGATCATTACCAGGCACAAATCTGTTCGTTACGTGCTGAGGGTTTATAGCAAAATAAATAGACTGTCATCATAAGTTCAGAAAATTGTGTGTTCGACCCACGATAATGTGTAAAGGGCGTTTAATAGAGTTCAGCATTTATTCGTTATCTGTATGCGGACAGAGACGGCAGTCGCGTTATCAGCTTTAAAAAAAAAAAATTCGGTAGTTCTGGGGGTCACGTGACGCACCTCACACACACAGGCGCGCGCGCATGAACCCTCACATGCTCTGCAGTGCAGTTTTGATTTTAGTCACAGCAGAAGGCTTAACCACAAGAGATTCCACTGGTTCAAACCAGCGTAAACCAGATTTTTTCAGCCCACAAAGGAACAGATTACCTCTTGTATCAAATTCTGCATTGGGGGAAAAAAAAAAAATCTTTGTTTCAAAAAAGATGTTGATTATCATAACTCAACATGGTGGTATTGCACACTCTCATGTTGCCTATGATGGAGCTGGTAACTCGGGAAAATACGAAATCACGATTTACAGTCTAGTCTAAGCATTGTTAATTTTCAAAAATAGGCCACCTTTTGTTTACTTGAATGAATAACTCCCGGTCTAACCAAAAAAAAAAAAAAAAAAAAAGATAAAGATGAAAACCCTCCCATTACCTAGCTTAGCTACAAATCCGGTGTGAAGCTTGAATGCAGCCATGCAGCACAAACAAGATAGAACGTTTTTTGTTTGGAACCTATTGAAAAAACAAATGGGTAGCATTTTTAAACACTCATTGATTATGGCAGGGTGGCATGCCCCAAATGGTCTCTATTGCTGAAGAGTAGTTTTAAACCTTGGCCCTTTAAGTATCATAGTCAACCGAAGAATAGTGCCCCCAGAAAGAAAAGATAGCTGGCCGATCAATTCCCAGATCGTCTCTTTCTGAGAATTAATGTTTGCCTTTTTCTCCCATGATGTTGGGCTAGCAAAGAGAAAGATTCCGATATATGATAGGCCGGGTATTTTAGTTTAAAATTTTGCTTCTCCTGGGGAAGAATAACTTTTAACGTGAAATGCAAGATGATATACTTGTATATAACTGGATGGTTGCTGAGAGAATGAGTGTGTTAATTAAAAATAAAAGACAACTTGTCTATTTTGAAACGATGATAATAAAAGTTTCATTTTCACTGAATGTACTGTGAGACATTACGTGAGAACTTCTGTATCCTTTTTATAAAGGATTCTTAACAGTTTTTTAAAATCTTATTCTTTGGTACTCAAAATATATATATTTTTTTATAACAAATGAAATAACAGAATAAGCTGGAATGCATGCTGCCTTCCTTGGATTCAGTATAAAAACAGCATTAAGCATTGAGATATCCGGGCTGTAGTAAACATGATACTTTTAGAGAGACTTATAG